CATAACATGCTCATGTCACTTTCTTGAGAGCAAAAGAGATTTGTCACCTCTGGATGTTTGTTTTTTTTTTGTCTTCCATCCTGAAGTTCCTAATAGTTTCTCATTCAAATTTGAACTTGCTAGACCAAAATCAGGTGCATGCACAAAGTCTCCCAGTTAAAGATGTTGGGTAGTAGTAGGACTAGGAAAAGCCTTCCCAGATTAAAATGACCTTTTAAGAATACTTCTGAATCTTGGAAGAGCTAGGAGAAATTTCTGCTGGGATCCTGGAGAACTGCTGCTTCTTAAGAGGTAAGGTAAAGGTAAAGGTTCCCCTCACACATATATGCTCATCGTTCCTGACTCTAGGGGGTGGTGCTCATCTCTATTTTAAAGCCAAAGAGCCAGCGCTGTCCGAAGACTTTTCTGTGGTCATTTGGCCGGCATGACTAAATGCCAAAGGCGCACGGAACGCTGTTACCTTCCCACCAAACATGGTCCCTATTTTTCTGCTTGCATTTTTTACATGCTTTCAAACTGCTAGGTTGGCAGAAGCTGGGACAAGTAACGGGAGTTTATCCCGTTACACGGCACTAAGGATTCGAACCGCTGAACTGCCAACCTTTCGATCGACAAGCTCAGCATCTTAGCCACTGAGCCACCGCGTCCCTTTCTCAAGAGGTACTTTCTTAAGAGGTACTACCAGCTAAAAAAGCCAATGCCTGACTCAAGGTAAAGCTATTGTCTGAGCTTATTCTAGTAAGCTCTGCAGCTCACCTGCCTGAAGCTATGGCTTTCCCCCCTTACCTGCAGTCCACCAGGGTGTTACATTGCCGGGCACATTCTTCTACTTCACTGATCTGCTCCACACTCTGTTGAGCCAAAGTGATCAGCTGAGTAGCCTTTAGTCTTTGGAAGTCATTCAGTGGAGAACGGTGACCTGGAAAGTATAGAAAATGTCTGTCATTCTGGATCTCTGCAAAGAAAACAGAATCAACTCTCAACCGAAAACAAGCATAAAGATGTGCCTCAATAATACTGTATAGCATCCTGGTAGTCTTTAAGGGGGAAATAGGAGAAAAACTTAGCACAGTTAAATCATAGTCTTTTCTAAGAATTTGAGAATTGAATGTCATCAATTTTTTAAGAAACAGGAAATAGAATAAAGAGACCAACTTAGTATGAACAAAGTTCCTTGGCTCAAATAAAATTGTGTGATTCTTATTCACGCAAATGAGATTGCGTGATTCTTATATCTGAGACTTCTGGGCAAAGTGCTGTACATTTAACAGATGCACCCCAGGTGGACAAGAATCATACATAGCTGTTTTCCAGTGTGAAGATGGGAAAATATTGCATTTACTACATTTCTGCCTCAGATACATTATTGCACTGTTTTTTTTTAAAAAATGGCAAATCTATTTGCAGAATGTGTGGCTAAGAAGTTTGAAAAAATGAGAAGGTTTCAATTATTGCCACAGACATTCAAAAGCTTGCTAACAGAGCCAGAAAGCTTTACTTAATGAATCCTTGTCACAAATCTGTTAAAGATCTCTTCCTTGTGGCTGTGTTAAAATGCTATCTACCAGTCCCTGAGTTTACAGCAGCAGCCCCCAACCTTTTGGGCACCAGGGACCGGTTCCATGGAGAAAGGTTTTTCTGTAGACCAGAGAGTGTGGTTTCATGTGCTCCCTGCATCCCATAAATAGGACTTAGCTTGTTTATGCGGCCCGGTTTCTGGCATGGCATGGATAGAAGTAAACTTATTTTTTCTTCAAGTCAGTCTTGACTTCTGTCAACTAAAAGGACATGGCCATGCAATTTTCTAGGCAACACTTTTGCCATTAGTTTCTTTCTACAGCTTAGAGATAATGACTGGCTCAAAGTCACCAAGCGGATTCCCTGCCTGAAGTAGGACAAGAACTCAGATTTCCTTGATCCTCTTCCAGCATCTTAAAACACTAGACCTATGTTCTCAACCTTGGCGACTTTAAGATGTCTGGATTTCAATTCCCAATCACTCTCCGTACATTGGTGGATGATGGAGTTAAGGCTGGGGAACAAGGGAAGTTTTGATAGACATCTGCCAAGGAATGTCTGGTTTGCCACAAGTTTTTTTTTTTTTTTTTTGTCAGTGAACTGAAGCAGACATAGACTTTTTCTATCATTTTTGCCAAACCTCAGCTGTCCATCTTTAGGACACGTGTTTTGTGCTAGTTCAGAACACTGCTAAATCTATATTCTAAAGAAGCCCAACAGCAGCTTATCAGTAGAGAGAAAACTGTATTGTGATGCAGGAAAGTGAACCAACTCTCTCTTTTCCCCTTCATTGTGCGGCCATTGCTAGTCAGATATTATTCAGGAAGACCCAGACCTCTGTGTTGGTTATTAGTACATCAAATGAATGAGGCTGGTTTTAAAGAACATCATTCTCCCACTATGCAAAGCAGAATGGAGAAGGTCAGAATGTACCAAGGGGCCAGAGGAGAGGGGATAAACTCATACTAGCCTAGGTGGCCCCTTGGCCCTACCCTTCTAGGTGGGATTTAACTATAACATCTACTAAAAGGTGGGTGAAACTTGCTATATTGCACTCATGGGAAAACAATGCTTTTTGCCTACTTCAATGGCAACATACTGAAACAACTAAAGATGATTTTAAGCTACTCTCAGATACATCTTGAGGATGAAGAAAAGCAGTGGTGAAATCTAAATCGGTTTGCTACTGGTTTGCTGCCTGCGCATGTGTGCTGTGTGCCAAGCGCACGCTGCACACGCGCATACACAGTGCTCACCAAATGCACGCTGCATGTGCATGCGCAATGCACACCAAAAGGAGGCTTGGGAAGGTACACAGAACGGGGGGGGGGGAATCAGCTGTGCCGCGCGGTTTAGCTTTGCTAGAAAGCAGGATTTTCTGCTTTCTAGCAAAGCTAAACCACGCGGCACAGCTGATCATTGGAAATACCTGTTTGGAGGAACCGGTAGCATTTAAAACTACTGGTTTTCCCGAACTGGTAGCTTTTTTTTTACTACTGGTTTGCCCGAACCGGTAGTTTTTATCACTACCGGTTCGCCCGAATCAGAGCAAACTGGTAGTATTTCACCCCTGAAGAAAAGGCAATGTCAGGATGAAGTGACAGAAAAAAAGTTTTTAGTAAAACACCAATGGTTCTGGAGAGACATGAAAAACCTCAGCCAACAAAGCAGAGGGAGATAACAGCTATTGCTCTCTCTAAAGAGACAACCCTTAACAGACCAGGATAGAAATGTCTGTTCTTTATGGAAGAAGGTAAACCAGGAGACACTGGAATTCTAGTCCTTCCTCAGGCATGAAAGCCAGTTGGGTGACTTTGGATCAGTCACTGTCTCAGTTCAACTCACTTCCCAGGGTGGTTACAGTGGGGAAAATAAGAGGAGGAAAGAGTGTTGGATATATTTTCTGTCTTGAACAGGGGTCGGCAACCTTAAACACTCAAAGAGTCACAAAAGTCCTAACAGGAAACCCCTGGAGCCCCGGAAGTCTGGTTTCCCCACCACAGAGTCTCCTCCTAGCGCAGCATCCTTTTTCCTCTACCTGTCCTAACTGAAAGCCCTATCAATTGTGGAGCTGATCAGAAAACCTGCCCTTGCCATAGAGTCTCTTCCTGGTCCGCCGTGCTTTTCCTCCCCATAACCTGAAGCTCGTCTCAAAATTGTGGCGGCGACAGGGAGCCGCAACAGAGGGATGAAAGAGCCACATGCGGCTCCAGAGCCGCAGGTTGCTGACCCCTGGTCTTGAATTATTTATAAAAATAATAAAGGCAAGATTGAAAAAAAAACACAATCCACTAATATGCAGACAGAAGTACCTCAGGGCAGAAAGCTTTGGCAAACAGCAAAGTAAAAAGAACTCTTCTGGGAAAATATCCTGATTACAGAACTTACAGTATAGAGAAGCAGTACCTTCTGCATTCTGCAGAGTTACTGAAACAAGAAAGAAGCACCCTGTGGAGATTCAGAGTGGGTGGATGGATAGATCCTCACCTTTGCTGGAGGTGCAGAGCAACACAAGGATCAAGACAGCTGTCTCCTGCATGGCTTTCTCCACCACACGCAGTCTTCCCAACATGGTCACATAGATATGCCAACAAGGTTATGTGTCCAGGAATATCCGGCAGGAAGTTACAGCTGGCTAAATATTTACTTAGGGTTTGTGTATCAGCAATATTTCCACAGCTTCAAAGCACATGGGGTACGGTTGCCCATTAGACCCTCAATACAGTAAGCCCTCAAAAACAGTATTTCTCCACTTCTCTTTTTCAACTCTGCCCCCGCTTCACAAAAGTTCCCAAAAAGAGACAATCACTCCCCAACTTCCCCAAATACAATGTAAAGTCAGGTTGGGAAATTGCTCCACATCAGTCCAGCTGGCCTTGGATCAAGAGCCTTCCCCTTCCTGTTAGTGGTCAAACAATGGGACCGCCCTACAGTCTCACAGATCTTTACTGCTGACCAAGCCAAGCAGATTGGAAAGTTTCCAAGAGTCCAGCACAGGCCAAATCTAAAAAAGAGAGTTGCCAAGTTACGGCCCGGCAGTCTTCTATGCCAGTGTTTCTCAACCTTGGCAACTTTAAGCTGTGTGGACTTCAACTCCCAGAATCCCCAGCCAGCACTGACTAGGAATTCTGTGAATTGAAGTCTACACAGCTTAAAATTACCAAAGTTGAGAAACCACGGCCTTTAAACATTGGCTATATATGACCAATAAAGAAAAAGTAACATTTGGAAAAAGATGTTCAGCTTCAGTATACAAAGCAAGAATATCCTCACCTTTCCATTACTGAGAAGAGGCTTTGCAGGGAATATGTTCTTATTTTGGAGAAAAAGGCGCTCCACTGATTTCTGTCTCTTGGGTGGAGATGGGTGGGCATTATTTAAAATTAGAAATCCAAAAAGATCAAACATTCCTGAATAATAATAGGAAATGCTCTGGTTATACAGCAGTTAATGGCACAAAGCCATTTGCCAGATCACTTGTCTAACACTTTGTTCCAAAACATGTTTATTCAGAGATTCCACACAGTTCCAGAGTATTTTTCCCCTCACAAATATGTTATGACAGACATCTCCAAGCTTCAGTAGAGATACTTAAAATTTAAGATCATATCCTGGGTATTCCTCTGATCACAAGCTAATCATAGTAAACATAGACCACTGTTTATTTATTGCCTCTGTTCAAACACTGCATAGTGGGATTCTATATTAATTAAGATACTAGACCGATTTAAAAATCCAGTTCAAGTTTTCGAAGTGTTTGTATTTTGTCAGGATCTATAAATATCCAGTCCAGATTGTGTAAGGGGCAGTACAGTTACACACAGGATTGTAAGAGAATACATTGGGATCAGCCACAAAAGTTTGTTGTTGTTCTTTTGTTCTGTATAATTTTTCATTGGACTTAAATGAATACTTCTCATAGATACAGACTTAACAGGGGATATAATCAAAGTTTGTGAAGTGCACCATCCAGCTTCCCTGTTTCCTGGAATCTTAAGGCTGATTCACATGGGCAGCTTTCCCCAGATTAAGTACTGACCACAGACCATTTCTCAGGGGCAAAGACAGTAACCATTGCAGGCGTGTGTCAAAATCAGCAAGATGTCAGACAGAGCATTGCAATGTAAACCCCCATCCCATTCCAATTTATGTCAACATCACATTCACATTCAAAAAGGGTGGGGCTTGGTTCACAATCCTCAATTTGCCATCTTGCTCGATCTTGCTGATCTTGACTGCTCCTTGTGGATATTAAATAAAAAGCAACACATATCCCATTACATATCAAAAGTAGTATTTCCAACTTGTGCCAAGTCAAGTAGCGCTGTCTGGTTCTCTGGCTGTGCTTCATTTCATTGTAGACAAATATCCCACTCCAACTGGGTGCAGCAACATTTTCTTCCCTCTGGTCGCTGCCTTCATTGCCCTTTAAAAAAAAAAAAGATAACTACATCAATGGAATATGAGTAGCTGTTTTGGTTTAGAAGTTGGTCCAGTAGAGCTATAAAACAGTGGGCCTGCTTCATTTATATACCATGTGTATTTATATAAAAATTGTGCATGAGACAAAAATGACTTTCATTTTACTGGAAGCTTAAAAGAGGCTGGACTGACATTCAGTTTGCAAAGGTAAATTAGCAAAAAGTAAAGGTAAAGGTTCCCCTCGCACTTATATGCTAGTCGTTCCCGACTCTAGGGGGCGGTGCTCATCTCCATTTCAAAGCTAAAGAGCCAGCGCTGTCTGAAGACATCTCCGTGGTCATGTGGCCGGCATGACTAACTGCCAAAGGCGCGCGGAACACTGTTACCTTCCCACCAAAGGTGGTACCTATTTTTCTACTTGCATTTTTACATGCTTTCGAACTGCTAGGTTGGCAGAAGCTGGGATAAGTAATGGGAGCTCACCCCGTTACGTGGCACTAGGAATTTGAACTGCTGAATTGCCAACCTTTCGATCAACAAGCTCAGCATCTTAGCCACTGGGCCACTGCATCCGTGCTAAATTAGCCTAGCGTTCACCTAATCAAATCACTAATGTACTTCTACACTAAAGCTTAAATACAAATGCTAATTGTGTCAAATGGTTTTTATAGTATGCCAATTCTTGGGTAGATTAATTTAAGCAAAGCAGAGAATGAACTAAAGATTGAGCACCACCGATATCATGATCTTTCATAGGGTTCATCAACCACCAGATGCCAGCAAAGAAATAAAGGATGCTTTCCATCTGCTTTATTGCCAGACACCTTTCTAGCCTCAGTGACCTTAATGATTATGATATGCATTTGATTCACTAATGTTCTCTAATTGGCTACTTGGTGATTCCCTCTCATAACTGGCCTGCAACCCATCCACCATTTTATTAAACAAGGTAGTCCTTGTTTAGCAACTGCAATTAGGAATGGCAACTTGAAGCAGTCACTAAATAAACCATCACAATTTTACAATTTTAATCAGCTTTCCTTTGTTTTACACACTTGCAAAGATAGTAAATGGAAAGGCTGGTCATATAATTATATTTTCATCATTGTCCTGTGAATAATTTCTAAGTGACTCATTCACTAAACAAGGACTACATCCCTCTTATTTATATGGAGCCTAGAAGCATTGTGAGAGAGACAGAAATATGCTTGAGGCTGGATCTTTGTTTTGCAGCACGCAAGGTTATTTTATTATTTTAGTAAAAATAAAATTAAAAAAATAAAATTAAGTAAGACAGACAACTTGGCTAAGAGTATCAAACCTGGGCTACGTAAAAGCGGGACAACTAGGAGATTGCAGCAAAGACAGGATGGAGTATTCAGTATCTTTTTGGATTGGTCTGGATTCTGGCAGGCTAGATATAGTAGCCCCAACGCAACATTGTGTGGAAAGTATTTTATTTTAGTAATCAATATTAATCATAAAAGATCCTTTATCCAAATGAAACACCTGGGACAGTAGACTGCATGAAATGAAAAAATGAAGAAGAAAAAAAGACTGTTTAGACAGAGTGATTATGTGGAGAATGGACCAAGGTTAAGGACAAGGCTGGTAACCTAATTTGGCCAAAACAAAGGTGTTTTTCAAATTGTAATAAAAAACAGAGGAAAGAAAGAAACCTTAAAAGAACCATTTTCTTGAAAAGTCAAACTGCCTTTGAATATAGGAAAGTTTCTTCAAGTTTAAACTGAAATAAGATGAAAGATAAAACTCTTTGCAAAGTGATCTCTACTATGTGTCTGAATGGTCATCTATTTGACAACATTACTTCATACTAAAGTGGTTAGTAGAACGCGGGGGCGTGTATAAAGTGCACTAAGATGCCTGTCGTTGTATTTTTATTCTCTTATTCTTGTTCTCGTTTGACAAATTCCAATAAATAAACAAACAAACAAATAACTCAACCTCCGAAGGAAAAATATAAGCCACGTTGGATTTAACACGAAAGCAATGGACTGCACCATTCCGACTACGGGTGATCCTTTTTAATGGGCTGATCCTGAAGCGATGCCCCGCCCGAAGTCATGCGTTATGAATGGAGGGCCATTCGTAAAGGTTGTCAGCCAAGGACAAAAGGTGGGAGAGTGACCCCATCTCTCGCCCCTAGATCAGTGGCAGCCCGCCCGGTGGGTCGTTTTCCTGCTGAAAACCTCAAGGAGGCTGCGGCTGCGTGATGATTTCGCCCCACAAGTCTAAACGGCGCGAAAGGCATCCAAATGCTATCGCGATTTGCGTTCGACTTATTCAAAATTAACAACACAGAGTGCTGTTTGCTTAATGATTTTTTTTCCCCCACACCCGGCCAAATATATTTCAGTAATTTTCAATAATATTTCCTTAAGCCTTTCCCCCCCGCTGGGGATGTAGCTGTGCGGAATTCCCATTTCTCCAGCGGAGGGCGCCAGAGGTAATCTCTAGAAACTCGCGGGAGTCCTTAGCAAGCGGCACCGAAGTCCGCGGATTCCCTTATGGGCCAGCCAAACTTCTGCTCTGGCCTTTCGGGAGTCGTAGTTCTTTGCCTCCCACGCTACGTTACTAGCGTGCCTTAATCCCCGAGACCTCTGTTTCCCGGCAGGTTCCTGAAAGGGAGGCGCGCGGAGCATCATGGGGCTCGTAGTTCACCCCTCCTTTGTCACAAAGCGCCTTAGCTGGGCAAGCCTGGCTCGCCAGGACTTCAGCTCCCAGAGGGAACGGCGGCGCCAGCGGCACCGGCACTCGCTTGGCGGGGGAAGAGAGCGAGTGATCAATCACGGAAAGGAAAATGGTGGTGGAGCGAACGGCGTGGCTCCCCTGTGAGGCAAAGACCGTACCCGTCGATCCACAACGTAGAGGCGCCGCCCGGTCAGAAACCGTCTCCTGATAGACCGCTCGATTCAGCCATGCCCCGATCACGCCGGGGAGAAGGATCCCGCCGAGGCGGGCGAGGTAAGGCGCGGGGGAAAGAGAAACGGCATTGGGTGACCGATGAGCCCTGCCTTCGTGGGGTGGTGGAAGCCCGGCGGGAAGCTCCCTTCCCTCGGAGGAAAGCGAGCTTTAATCGCTGTGGCCGCCGGCTCGGCTCCACTGTGGCCTCGGAGGACCTGTAGCAGCTGCCAAAGCCACCAGCCAGGCTGGAATGCCGCGTGTCAAAGAGGGACCGGCCAGCCCGCCCGGAAAGCGGATCTTTTCCTCGGCTCCTCCTGACTCTCCCAGGCGCCCGGGTGGAGAAGCGTGGGTGGAAAGTGTTGCGTGGGGTGGGATTTGTGGGGAAGAAGTCTAAACGTGGTGGTAAATTCAGTGGGGTGGGGGGGGCACATTGGAAATGATAGGCGAGGATATTATCGTCTGAAAACGCTCTTCTCCCCAAACTCGAGCAAATAAATGCCTTTTAAATGAAAAGAAGAAAAATCTCACTTTCCTATTTTCTAGTTCTGGATCCTGATTGAATATCTCTTCCCTCCCCCCCAAAATAAAAAACAACCCTTGGTCTTCTCTTTTCATGCTTCTTAGGGGAGAGGAAATGGTTTCCAGAATACAAGCCCACATAGAGATCCTTGTTTGGGAAAACAAGTTGTGTTTCTACGTGGTTGCATTACACATCAGTTGGGTATGCGTTAAAAGGTGCCTTATGCGGTGGGCTATGCGGGCCACGTGGACTGAGTGAGGATGCCTCCTCTAACATCTGGAAGCAAGGAAAGAAGGGTGGCGTCTCTCTCTCTGCCCATCCTGCTCTGACACAAAACTAGCTGGATAGTGTGAGGGACAGACAGCCTAAAGTCTATTGGTGTTTTAAGCTGTGTGAAATAAAGCAGGTTTGATAGAGTAAGAGAAATATTTTTCACAGGATCTGTGGCCATGGCATAGTTGCCTATGTACCAAATCTTGTGCTTTTCATGTGCCCGTCTAATTTTGCCTTTGTACCAGAAAAACAATGCTGGAACTTGTAGTTACAACTGCTGATGGTATCTCTATAATCTAGTTGAATCTGCTGTGGGCTGCTGGGAACAAATAACTTTTGGTGTTCACTTTTCATCTCACTAATTTCTCATTCTGTTTTGTACTTTGATTTTTTTTTGTAAGTGAGAAAGTAGCCACATCCACAGTTGTCAAGAAGTAATGCTTGTATTCTTGTTGCATAAAGAGGATTACATTGAGACATGCTGACTTCATAGTTAAACATTTAACACTTAATTCTCTCTGACCTAGATGCCTCGGAGAAAGCAATATTTGTCAGCTCTGTACTATTTCTGCTGTGGTCATCAAATGTTTATTTGGTGACCGTTGTATTATCTCAAGTAGTTTCTGTGCATTACTGTGTACAAAATTGAACAACTCAGGTGATAGTTCACAAGTACTAACAGCTTTTGTGCACAGAAACCCAGAGTGAGAATATGAGTGATGAAACTTTCACCATGGGATGAATAACGAGTTATGTAGTTGGCTTCACACATTGCATTAAACCATAATACTCTTTGGTTTTGATTTAGTGTGACATATGGACACAACCATGGCTTGTTCTAGAAAATATGATTAAAACAAACCATGGTTTACTCTAAAATGAAAGGCCTTTGAATGAAATGGAAAGGAAATACAGATAGTCTTTGACTTACAACCATAATTGAGTCCAAAATTTCTGTTGCTAAGTAAGACAGTTATAAGTGAGTTTTACCCCATTTTATATACCTTTCTGGTCACACTTGTTCAGTAAATCGCTGCAGTTTTAAAGTTAATTACACAGTTAAGTGAATCTGACTTACCTACTGATTTTGCTTGTCAGATGGTTGCAAAAGGGGATCACATGACCTCAGGACACTGCAACCATCATAAATACATGCCAGTTGCCAAACTTGGAATTTTGAACATGTGACTGTGGGCATGATGCAAGGGTTGTAAATGTGATAAATCACTTTCGGAAAAAGTGCTCTTATAAATTCGAATGGTCACTAAATGAATGGTTGTAAGTTGAGGTATACATGTATCATTATAGAAGACATGATGGTTGCCTTCCTATTATTCAACACTTAGATGTAACCTAATTGACTGCATCTCATTCACCCTTGCTTCTGCTTTTTTATGTAAAGTAATATTACTTGGTTTAGTCCATTGGCTGGATTCATCTAACAAAGTATACCAGATGTGACTAGCTTCTGCTGGAAATTTTTGTACACAGTAAATGCAGCCACTGTGATTGGCTTATTTTTCAGTGTGGTTAATTTGGTAAACTGTGATTCAGCTGACTATGGGGTATTCTATTGTGTTGTGCAAACAGAATAAGGATCTTATACTGAATTAAGGAATTATCAAACACATTCGAGTCTAGCATGTGTTGTAATTCAGCAGGTCAGTTTTACCTTGCAGAAGGCCATATTCTTATCTAAGCGGTCTCTCATTGTAGAAAAGTGAAATTTTCCAGACAGTGCAGTTTTTCTGAGGAAATGAAAGCAGTGACACGTATCATGTGTGTCTTTTCATCGCGCTAGTTCAAAAAGAAAAGAAACGCGGCATGCTGATCTACCATAGAAATGTCACAAAATCCTCCTGTAATGCATGAAAGTAAACATGACGTCGTTGGCTAAACTCCATGAATCGAGCTGGTTCCAAGGCCACCCAGCTGCTGGTGCCCCTAACACTTAGCATGAGTTGTCATGGGACTCTCCAGCTAGACAACTGTATACAGTACTGGCTGGTCGGTCTCCTCTCTTTTTAGTATTATTTTGTAATGTCCTCTATTAAAAACACTTTGCTGAGTGGTGCTCATGGATGCCTTCTGCAGTTAGAAGAAGTGCAGAAGACATGCAGTCTTTGGACCCATCAGCCCCAGGAGAAAAAAAACAGGAGCCATCTACAACATTCATTACAATGATTGCACACCAACAAGCAGTCATAAGACACAATATTTCACAACATATGGAAATATCCATAGTTTTAGTCGGGAAACTGTGACCGTCCTAGACAGGGTGGATTTCATTTAAAATTAAATCAAGTCAATTTAAATCACAATTTTTAAAGAGCAACTGTCATCTCTGTCCCGCAGTGACTCTTCCTTTGACCCACTGTTGACTCACCAACAGTATTTGACTCACCAATATTGCAGAATAAACAGCCTCATGCTACATAACTAAGCTCCATTGCATGATGAATAAACTAAATTATTAATGTATCTTAAATAGAAAACTATCTTTAGATAGATTTTTACTCCAAAAGCATTTCATTACAATAAATTTGATGAAAATCAAAAAAATCCAATTTAAATTTTTAAAAATCTGATTTTTTTTTAATTTTTTAAAAAATCATCAATTTTTATTCACCCTGGTCCTAGACCAAGACATGTCCAGAAATGCTAGGAATTTCTAGTATCTTGGCACTCTGACAGATTATGTACAGAGTGTACATTTTATGTACAGTGAGAGCATGTGCACCAAAGACAAATTCCTTGTGTGTCCAATCATACCTGGGCAATAAACTATTCTATTCTATTCTATTCTATTCTATTCTATTCTATTCTATTCTATTCTATTCTATTCTATTCTATTCTATTCGTCATCAATAGACACATAGACACAAATAAAATCTATATACTATGCAAAAGATACAATCAACAACCTAAAAAGGGAACAAGCAATCAGCACCCAGATGAACACAGATTAACTCCAAGATTAACATCAGACCAACAATCAAGTAAACAATACCCCAATCAAGGAATTGCCAGCAAGAAAACAGTAAACAGCCCAACCAAATGATCTCTAAGAGCACCCCCACCAACACTGACAGGGCAAACCACTAGAAACGTAATGGCGAACCTATGGCACGCGTGCCAGAGATGGCATGCAGTGCCGTCTCTGGACATGCAAGCCGTCAGCCCAGTTCAGGTCCGCTGCGCATGCACGCATGCCTCCCCCCGACCAGCTCTTTGGGTCTCTGCTGCGCATACATGAGGGGGCGTGCACATGTAAGGGGCCGTGTGCACAGGGGTGAGGGGTGCATGCACATGAAGGGGGCAGGGGGCATGCACGGGGGATGTGCATGTATTGCATTTTGAGGGTTTGCATGCATGCCTTGGGCACTCGGTCCGGAAAAGTTACCTATCACTGCACTAGAATATAAAGTGAGAGCAAACTCCACTCCTTACTAGCCCTGATGATGTTATCTAATTTGGATAATGAAGCATCTGCAAAAAAAACCAAGCAAGCTCAGAGAGCACCAAGGACCTCTCATGTCAACCCTGGGCTACAAATATTCTCCTTTATATGTACAACATCTTTTGACAGACTGAGCTTTCAACTGGCTGGTTTATTTATAAAACTAAAAAACACCAGGGACCAAAATAATCACAGTTCTCCATGCTCTGGTACCCGGGTGTCAAACTCATCACAGGACGTTTTGCGATGTTTTTTCCCTTTGCGGAGCTGGGATGGGTGCCTGCGCATGACACTTCCAGTCCACGGGCCGCCAATTTGACACTCCTGCTCTAGTATCAAGGAGTAATAGCTCCTAATTTTCATTGGGTATATGGCTACTTTTGAGGACTTGGTTTAATACACAACAGATAGGCTGCAAACCTATAACAAACCATATTTAATTAATTGGTTTCCCATGTATTTCTAGGCACAATTCAAAATTATCAATGATTGCGCCAAGGATGCTGCTCCCTTTCAAACCTGTCAATTCCTTAAAATTACCTGGGGCCACCCCTCTTTAGATTTGCACATTTGGGAGATTCAGATGCATGGGGACTTCTTCTCTGGTGGAATCCTAACTGGAATATCCTCCTTCAATAGGCATCGACCATCGACCATCGACCATGGTATCATGCTGCACCGGTTGGAAGAGTTAGGGGTGGGAGGCACTGTGTTGCGGTGGTTCTCCTCCTTTCTCTCTGACCGGTCGCAGTCTGTGTTGACGGGGACAGAGGTCGACCCCGAGGCCCCTCATATGTGGGGTGCCGC